AGAAAGAGATTTATCTTTTAGCAGCAGATCTAGACAGAACACAAATCTCAATCAGAAACTCCTACAATCGAAGTTATCGAACCAAACAATTGAATCTGAATAGATCTTTTTAAGCTCTATATAAAAAGTCGATGAAACTGAATCAAATAGATAAAGTCTCTATATCGAACAAATCAAATAGACGCCATATTTGATATCAAAAAAGTACCGTCTATTTTTTCTCCATTCATTTTTATTGGTCTATAAACAGCAATGCAAGCTCGCTTTTTATGACAATAAAATCATGTCATTAAAATAAATTGTCCATTTACGAAAATGTCTACCAGTCTATGCGATTTAGTCAAAATTTTAGCACCCAATTTCTATACGTTCAACCGAACCCGCCACCGCCGTCCCCACCTTCCATTCCTTTCTTTTCACCTGCTCTGAAAATTCACATTGGCAAATTCCCAGATAAATTCGAGATCGCGAAGCCCTCTCGCTTTACGAAACAATCTCTCATTGTTTTGCAATGGCGACAGTGATTGGTTTCGTGGGCTCTCTTTCAGTTAATAATTCCTCGGAGCAGAAATTGAAAACGGAGGTTTGGAAAAATCCCCGCAGCATTCAAAAATTTTCTCATTTTTATTCTTCTTCGCATTCGCGACTTTTTAATAATTTGAGGATTAGAAAAGTGATTCCTGAAAAGCAATTGTTCGTATTAAACCCTAGATGTGAGGTCGGTTCCAACTCTAAAATTGAAGCCAAGCTATCTAGTGTTTCCGCTTTGGAGCTTCTGAAGACATCGGCTGCCGATCGTAAGTCTTAAATTTTTGGTTTAGTTTATTTTATCGGTAATTTGAGTGTTTTTATGCTATTTATGAGATGAAGAGCTAGATCAAACGCCCAGAAGTGGCAAAAGAACTTGATTCTAAAAGGATGAAGAATGAATTGGAGAAAAAAAATGAGAACAATTAAATATAGAATAAAAATTCAAAAGACTGATGAATTATATATATTTCTATCCGTTAGGGTCACGTGTTCATGAAAGGGAATAACTTTGTTGGTTTCTATTTGATGGTAGATAATCCAATTCATCTTCACTTTTCTTTCATTGCTCTTTAGAACTAGGTGGATCGTTGTGGATCCTTGTATAACTTGCACTAGTAACAAATATAATATGTAGTTGCGGGATGCTGTTGGCTAGAGACTAGAGAGTTTTATTTTGTCTGTTAATTCTATAAATCTTCTTAAATGAAGTATTGGATTGATGATCTAAGTTCTCCTCACAGGATATACAAAAGAAACGAGCAGTATTGTGGTTGTAGGGCTTAACTTCCGTACGGCACCAATTGAGATACGTGAGAAACTTTCTATACCGGAAGCTCAATGGCCCCAAGCAATTGGTGAACTGTGTGCTCTAAATCATATAGAGGAAGCTGCTGTTCTTAGTACTTGCAACAGAATGGAAATATACGTTGTGGCTTTGTCACAGCATCGCGGGGTTAAAGAAGTGACTGAATGGATGTCTAAGGTGCCAACATGTACCCTCATTGTTATGTGTGCACAAAAAAATGTAATTGAGACATTGATAGTAGAACAATAGAAATTAATTTTGGTTTAATAGTTTTGCACTTTCTTTAGTTGTGCCTTGTTTTGTCTGTCAATCTTATGTTGGCTTCAATAACTACTAGTTGGATTTACCATAAAAGGAGAATTTTGTGAAAGTTGACATCTTTGCCCAAGTAGGATTTGTCTTTTAGCCAGAAACAGGGAAAAGTCCAACAAGTGCAAGATTGTCTGTTTGTCTAGGAAGCACCAACAAATACTCAAGTATCAGGCATGGCACCTTGCATTTCTGACATGTGTTGGCAATTTTTTGTTGTCCAGCATGATTATCTCTGCATGTTGGCAATATGTTGGCGACATGTCCAACACTGCAAAATCAAAAAATAATATGGACATGCCATCTGGAGTTTTTGCCACCTGTGGTGATGTGTTGGTGTCATGTCGACGCTGGGAGAGTGTCGATGCATACTAGGTTTGTCAATAATTACACAAATTGTTTCTGAGTTTGTATATCTTTTTTGGCAGATTAGTGCTGTTCCTGTTTCAGAGCTTTGTCAGCACCGATTTTTGCTGTATAACAAGGATGCCACACATCACTTGTTTGAAGTATCTGCTGGACTTGATTCCCTTGTCTTAGGAGAAGGTCAGATTCTTGCACAGGTAAAACAAGTTGTTAAAACTGGACAGGGCATCTCTGGCTTTGATCGCAAAATTAGTGGGCTGTTTAAGCATGCAATCACAGTTGGAAAACGTGTGAGAACCGAGACAAATATTTCCACAGGATCAGTTTCAGTTAGTTCAGCTGCCGTGGAACTTGCTTTAATGAAACTTCCAGAATCTTCTCAAGCTACTGCTAGAATGTTGGTTGTTGGAGCTGGCAAGATGGGGAAACTCGTAATCAAACATTTGGCTGCGAAAGGTTGCACAAAAATAGTTGTTGTTAACAGAACTGAGGACAAAGTTTCTGCCATACGCAAGGAGCTTGAGAATGTCAAAATAGTCTACTTGCCTCTCTCCGAAATGTTAGCATGTGCTGCTGAAGCTGATGTCATCTTCACCAGCACTGCTTCTGAAACTCTGCTGTTTTCAAAAGAGCAGGTTCAGGCTTTTCCCCCCGTGAGCCCTGAGATTGGAGGTCGGAGGCTATTCATAGATATTTCTGTTCCACGAAATGTGGGATCATGTGTTTCAGATGTTGAAACTGCACTCGTTTACAATGTGGATGATCTGGAAGAAGTCGTGGAAGCTAACAAGGAGGACCGGTTGCACAAAGCAATGGAAGCTCAAGCAATTATCGAAGAGGAAGTGAAACAATTTGAAGCCTGGAAAGACTCCCTCGAAACTGTTCCAACCATCAAGAAGCTTAGGGCATATGCAGAAAGAATCAGGTCATCTGAGTTCGACAAGTGTTTGTCTAAGATGGGCAATGATATCCCGAAGAACGAAAAGAAAGCCATATACGATCTTAGTATAGGAATAGTGAACAAACTCCTTCATGGTCCAATGCAACATCTACGATGTGATGGAAACGAGATTAGGTCTCTAAGTGAGATACTCGAAAATATGCATGCTCTCAACAGAATATTCAGTCTCGACACAGAGATCTCCGTACTGGAACAGAAGATACGAGCCAAAATCGAACAGAATCAGAAGTGAGCTTCTTGAATCTACTTCTCGTTAATATGTTGTTATTTTCTCTAACTGGAGGAAGAACATCCTCCCTCGGTGCTCATATTCAGGATGAGTATTGTCGAATTCTTTTGGGGCGTTCTGTAACTTGTATAAATGTAGCCTTTATCCGGGGACATTTTCAAGTCCCTGCTGTTTTAGTAAAGAAAAGCAGCCGTCATAGGAAGGGTATGAATTTAAATGGCTATAAGAAGAGTAATGAAAGAAGTCTGAAAGTTCTCAGGTGAGTCTTCTTCAATGTTTCTCAGATATTTAATATAATTGGCTTGATTGAATCCTGCTGGAACTAATTATATATTCAAATTCCTCTCATTAGAGTTTCCCAATCTGAAGAAAGGAAGTATGATCTGTATGTTTTTCATGAAAATGGATTCCCCGAGAATCAATGGATTAGGATTCTATCTATTTTTGTTGTCATATCTTATGGATATAATGTAGATAAATGGTTAAAAAAAAGTTGTCATCGGGTACAAGCAGATGCACTCTTGATGTATTATCCTGGATCCTGATTCATGATAAATGTTGGCAGCATGTTTGACCCATACAAGTTGGACATGAAGTGGGCAGTTGAGTAAGTCGTGAATGTTAGATTTTGTTAGGATTCTCTCGTCAACATCGTGAAGTTAAATATGTTGAAGAACCTGCAAAATAAAATTCGGTCAGAGAGTATCAACAGAGGTGAGGGTTGTTGAGTCCATTTTGACTTTCAAGTCCAAAATAATGTAGTTGCTTTTCTTCTGCTAAAATTTGGGCAGAATTCAAGATTATATGAATTTGAAGTGGGCAACGCATTCAAAAGTTGGAGTGCATTGCTGTCTTGAATGTCAAACAAGTTAGTGAAAATTTGGAAAGCGCTGTAGTGATTGTCTCTCTAAGAAGTTAGTGAAAAGTTGGGAGAGTCAAGTTATGCTTTGTTGAACTAAAGTGTCTCTGTCTGGGTGTTGTGTTTGGCCGATTGCGTTTTTTATTGTGAGCTTTGGCCACTCTAGCTCGATTACCTCATAGATTGGTCAAATGTCAATTTGACGATTCTGATTTCACTTGCGAGTTGCAACATAAGCTCAGTGACACTCCGATATGGTACGTCGATGGGGAGTGCAACAAATCTAATTCATAAACTACAAAAGAGACGCATACCGTTTGACACAACTATCTATGCCTTAAAAAATACCAGCATGGCTGATAACGAAAAACCATCGCCCGGAAATTAAAAACTATTGCCTTCGAGTTGAACCATTAAACCAATGAGCCTTGGTTGAATCTGCAAATGTGCAAAAGATATCCCATAATTGTGCAAACAGAAACATCGTTACCAAGAAGAAAAACGAGACATGATGACCTAGACTGATGCTCTATCGTCATCGGTGCTAGATATCATTATTCTTACAAAAAGGGCATGAAAATTGTTAGGCTCAAACAAAAACATGGGAAAGAATAATTTCTTGGAAGCTTCGACAGCTCCAACGTGTTACTCGTCAGAAATTTATAGTTCATCTTTGCTGCTATATACGGTCCTCTTTTCTTTTAACAATGTAAATGAATATAAGATACAAATATTTTGGCCATCTTCATTCTGTACTATACCAACTCGACAGAGAAAAAGGATTACAAGATTCCGTCGAACTCCACTAGAAATAGTCAGGCGTACAAAGAAACTACCTGCTACTCGATTGTCCCACTTGTAGAACGACGTCATCCTCTAATTGAGTCAGTGGGATCAATGGCAATTCTAAATCCAATTTTATAGAATCCCTTTCCTCCTTTCACCCAGACTCCAAGCTATATCCAATCAGTTGTGTCAAGATATCAACCATGTATCGGGAATGCCCAGTAGGCACCGGTGCATGCAATCCTGACCCCAGATGGAAACTACATCTCTTTTTCCCAACCATATTGCTGGATGCGCATCTGCTCTGAACTCATTCGTATGAGTAAGATCGAGTGTTCTGATACCTGTCCTTTTAAAGCCGACTCAATGAGAAGATTCAATTGTCTAGCTTCTTTGTTCACTCCATTATTACTGGGATCAAACCACAAGTCAAGCTGTGCTGGCATCAGTTGTTAATTCTCTCACTGATGTAATAGCAAAATAAATTTCGAATTTTTTAAATTTAATTTAACCATTGTTTATTGACTTTTTGATAAAATAATCCCTTAATTCAGAGTATTCTAACATTAAAAATCAGGCATCAATATTTTGCCTGTTTCAGTGAGAAGAAAAAAATGGGAGCATTTCCAAAATTTCTACAAAGAAAGCAAAGAACAAATGGAGCCTTTCAGAATTGCATACCTGGAGTTCCTCAAGGGGCTCGTCAAACAAGCAACTACCATTCTGATTCCAGTCACCACCGTGAAAGTGTCTCGGGGATTGCAGCCGCCGGAACTTGGCATCCTTTTTGGAAATACTTTCTCAATGTGAGCTACCATGTTCTCAAGAACAACTTTAAAACAGTCCAACATTTCTAGAGGAGGATGTTTTGGCATTCTGCCCTCAAAGAAAACGAGAGGCATCTCTTTCGGGAATTTATCATAGCCCCACCTAACAATGATAAGCAAGCAAAATAATATTTTAAAAATCATAAAATGTTAATGAACTAGAAACATAAAAAGCATGGTATAACATACATATTAGCCACGTAGATTAAAATCAAAATTTGTAAAATTTTATTAAAAGTTACATGAAAATCATAAAATGTGTGGTTAAAATTAATTATTTACTTTTGACTCGAGATTTTTATCAACTTTTAATCTACACCAAATAGGGGCTATGTACAGCACCAAACCAGCACGTTTGATGGAAAATAGACTTGAATCCAAGTGCAATCAAGATCTCTAGTAGAAAGTTGAAACTTGAAGGTATCAGATCCTTCTTTTCCTATAATCCCACATTCAATTATCTTAGTTCAGTGTGTGCCTATATATAGACATTTGTAAGAGGGAGGGATTCAAGGGGTTTCAACAGGTACTTAACTCCTTTGAACTAGTTCCAATTTAGCCTAAAATAGATAGGAAAGTGCCACCCTAACGAGATGTGATAAAATTTATTGCCTTTACTTAAAATTTGACAAAAGAAGATCAAGCTTGCACCTAGCATTGAAGCTGAAGTAGCTAAAAGAAGCAAATGTTAAAAAAAACATAGAAGACTGTTTTGTTCTGTTAATGGCATAAGCTCAATTTCAAGTTCTGCCCCTACAATCATGACCAATAGAATTCTTAAAATCAGACCAACATGTGCAGTGAATCAAGAGTTTCAGACAAAAAATCATTCATAATATTTCCATAAATTTGACAAAAAGATTATCTAGAGAACAGCGGAAACAAGAATTACCAGTGACCAGTGTTAAATACTAGAACGTCATAGAAATAAGCAATATTAGCCCAATCATGTGCTGGAATATCAGTATCTACCCGATATGTACCCTTGACACCGTCTTTATCCGAAAGCAGTAGTTGTTGTGACTGCCACCTGAATTTAATCAATAATAAGCTAGTGAGGGAGTAAGATTAATAGCTGATCCAAAATCTTAAAAGAAAGAAAGATACACTATTAAATAACTAAATTGATGAAAAACACTCTTAAAAGGTCAATCCAGGGGAAATAAAATTATTATTAGTAAGAAATCGAAAACATTCAGACACTAATTCTTCATTTTTATTCGAGTTCAGCTAGCATAAGAACTAGGAAATCAAAAAATCCATTTCTAAATAATTTGATCGTGACGGTTGAGAGCATCAATAGATGATAGATTTTCCTAATACTCTGCATGTACACCCCACCAACAAAACCTATAAGTGAAAAACCGTTTAAGAAAGATACCCACAAAATATTTATAGTAACAGAAGTTGTGCGCTACAGTTTCTGTGGCTCTTCTCTTGCCATGTATCTGCTATAACATAACACTGAAAACGATAGAAATGCCAAGAATGCACCGCAAAATCATAGAGTAACTATAAAAATCAATCGTAGCAGTACAATGCTTTGTATTCATATTTCAACAAACAAATGATATGCATTATCAACCTTAAGGGGTTGTTTAATTCGTCAGACGTTGGGTTTGCTCTCCAATTGTCACTAGTTTGAGTCCATCGGGACCACTTAGTTGAGTACCCGGCTGTAAACTTCAAGCGGATTAGTCGAGGTGCGCGCAAGCGGGCCGACATCTACGGTTATAAAAAAAAATGATGTGCATTATCAAGAACTTTGCTAAAACTACACATAAGCTCGGATTTTAATTTCGAGGCTAATTACTCAAAAGAATTCATGAAAAAAATTGCATGATCCATGAGAAGTACCATATTATTCAGCACTTAAGTTACAGAATTCAAATAACTAAATCTTGGTTTGAATCAAAGCCGAGTTATTACATATCGTGTTATCAAATTATAGGCAATACTTAATACGTACTCATATTTAGCCAGCAAAACTGCTCGGTGATAATCCACCGTGACGTTAAATTTTGGAAAAATAAGCTCCGCTCCATGCCCCCCTTCTCTTCCACTTCTTGGCACCAGCATCAGCTACTCTAAGTAAACACAAAAAGGACACCAAAGAATTCTCATTCAAAGAGTCCTCCACAAACCCAATATTCTTGTTCCTCATTAAACCCAAGAATCCAACCGGTCGACCCGGTTCAAATGGGACTGTTCTGGAACCCATTTCCAAGAATTGATCCGACCCATGTTGTCTCTCTGGTTCTTATGCAATTTCAAGAGTTTCTATGAAATAGGCAGGTTGAATTGTACATGGGTTTGTGATTGGGGTCAAAAACCCAATGCCCTTTGAAGATATTGCATTTTGGCGGGGGCTAAAATCTGATTCTTGGAGTTGGAAGAATGTGATCTTGGGGCGGTATAGAGAGTAAGGAGCATGGAGTAAAAGAAAATCAGAAGACGAGAAGGAAGGATTAACCACGTAATGAGTGTTGGGGTTAGCTTTGATGCCATTAGCATTCATTCATGTCGCGGATCATATTACTCAATATGAATTGCCATTAGCATTCATGTATAATCTTGGGATCGTTTGAGGGGTAATAAGGAAGCTCGTGTGAAATCCGTGGATTCACCGGATCGGTTCACACAATTTATTAATTTGAGCGCCACTTTGGTCTTTTATTTCATGTTAAAACGAGAATAATAATAATTTTTTTGAAGAATGTGGGTTAAAAAAGAAAGATTTTTTTTTTTTTTTAAGTTACGTGTAATATTATTTTATTGAAAAATGAGACATTAAAAAAAGAGGGAGAAAAA